AGTTTATTAGATATGGGTACCTTCCCATGGTATATGAATATGGAAATCATTAAGTATTTATCACATAAATCGCCAGTGTGATGGTGTATGAATATGGTAATTGTCCAGTATGGTGATGATGTATGAATATGATAATCATCCAGTGTGATGGTATATGAATATGATAATCGTCCAATGTGATGGTGTATGAATATGGTAATAGTCCAGTATGGTGATGATGTATGAATATGATAATCATCCAGTGTGATGGTATATGAATATGATAATCGTCCAATGTGATGGTGTATGAATATGGTAATAGTCCAGTATGGTGATGATGTATGAATATGATAATCATCCAGTGTGATGGTATATGAATATGATAATCGTCCAATGTGATGGTGTATGAATATGGTAATAGTCCAGTATGGTGATGATGTATGAATATGATAATCATCCAGTGTGATGGTATATGAATATGATAATCGTCCAATGTGATGGTGTATGAATATGGTAATAGTCCAGTATGGTGATGATGTATGAATATGATAATCATCCAGTGTGATGGTATATGAATATGATAATCGTCCAATGTGATGGTGTATGAATATGGTAATAGTCCAGTATGGTGATGATGTATGAATATGATAATCATCCAGTGTGATGGTATATGAATATGATAATCGTCCAATGTGATGGTGTATGAATATGGTAATAGTCCAGTATGGTGATGATGTATGAATATGATAATCATCCAGTGTGATGGTATATGAATATGATAATCGTCCAATGTGATGGTGTATGAATATGGTAATAGTCCAGTATGGTGATGATGTATGAATATGATAATCATCCAGTGTGATGGTATATGAATATGATAATCGTCCAATGTGATGGTGTATGAATATGGTAATAGTCCAGTATGGTGATGATGTATGAATATGATAATCATCCAGTGTGATGGTATATGAATATGATAATCGTCCAATGTGATGGTGTATGAATATGGTAATAGTCCAGTATGGTGATGATGTATGAATATGATAATCATCCAGTGTGATGGTATATGAATATGATAATCGTCCAATGTGATGGTGTATGAATATGGTAATAGTCCAGTATGGTGATGATGTATGAATATGATAATCATCCAGTGTGATGGTATATGAATATGATAATCGTCCAATGTGATGGTGTATGAATATGGTAATAGTCCAGTATGGTGATGATGTATGAATATGATAATCATCCAGTGTGATGGTATATGAATATGATAATCGTCCAATGTGATGGTGTATGAATATGGTAATAGTCCAGTATGGTGATGATGTATGAATATGATAATCATCCAGTGTGATGGTATATGAATATGATAATCGTCCAATGTGATGGTGTATGAATATGGTAATAGTCCAGTATGGTGATGATGTATGAATATGATAATCATCCAGTGTGATGGTATATGAATATGATAATCGTCCAATGTGATGGTGTATGAATATGGTAATAGTCCAGTATGGTGATGATGTATGAATATGATAATCATCCAGTGTGATGGTATATGAATATGATAATCGTCCAATGTGATGGTGTATGAATATGGTAATAGTCCAGTATGGTGATGATGTATGAATATGATAATCATCCAGTGTGATGGTATATGAATATGATAATCGTCCAATGTGATGGTGTATGAATATGGTAATAGTCCAGTATGGTGATGATGTATGAATATGATAATCATCCAGTGTGATGGTATATGAATATGATAATCGTCCAATGTGATGGTGTATGAATATGGTAATAGTCCAGTATGGTGATGATGTATGAATATGATAATCATCCAGTGTGATGGTATATGAATATGATAATCGTCCAATGTGATGGTGTATGAATATGGTAATAGTCCAGTATGGTGATGATGTATGAATATGATAATCATCCAGTGTGATGGTATATGAATATGATAATCGTCCAATGTGATGGTGTATGAATATGGTAATAGTCCAGTATGGTGATGATGTATGAATATGATAATCATCCAGTGTGATGGTATATGAATATGATAATCGTCCAATGTGATGGTGTATGAATATGGTAATAGTCCAGTATGGTGATGATGTATGAATATGATAATCATCCAGTGTGATGGTATATGAATATGATAATCGTCCAATGTGATGGTGTATGAATATGGTAATAGTCCAGTATGGTGATGATGTATGAATATGATAATCATCCAGTGTGATGGTATATGAATATGATAATCGTCCAATGTGATGGTGTATGAATATGGTAATAGTCCAGTATGGTGATGATGTATGAATATGATAATCATCCAGTGTGATGGTATATGAATATGATAATCGTCCAATGTGATGGTGTATGAATATGGTAATAGTCCAGTATGGTGATGATGTATGAATATGATAATCATCCAGTGTGATGGTATATGAATATGATAATCGTCCAATGTGATGGTGTATGAATATGGTAATAGTCCAGTATGGTGATGATGTATGAATATGATAATCATCCAGTGTGATGGTATATGAATATGATAATCGTCCAATGTGATGGTGTATGAATATGGTAATAGTCCAGTATGGTGATGATGTATGAATATGATAATCATCCAGTGTGATGGTATATGAATATGATAATCGTCCAATGTGATGGTGTATGAATATGGTAATAGTCCAGTATGGTGATGATGTATGAATATGATAATCATCCAGTGTGATGGTATATGAATATGATAATCGTCCAATGTGATGGTGTATGAATATGGTAATAGTCCAGTATGGTGATGATGTATGAATATGATAATCATCCAGTGTGATGGTATATGAATATGATAATCGTCCAATGTGATGGTGTATGAATATGGTAATAGTCCAGTATGGTGATGATGTATGAATATGATAATCATCCAGTGTGATGGTATATGAATATGATAATCGTCCAATGTGATGGTGTATGAATATGGTAATAGTCCAGTATGGTGATGATGTATGAATATGATAATCATCCAGTGTGATGGTATATGAATATGATAATCGTCCAATGTGATGGTGTATGAATATGGTAATAGTCCAGTATGGTGATGATGTATGAATATGATAATCATCCAGTGTGATGGTGTATGAATATGATAATCATCCAGTGCGATGGTGTATGAATATAATAATTATTCAGTATGGTAATCGTCCAGTGTGATGGTGTATGAATATAATAATCATCCAGTGTGATGGTGTATGAATGAATATAATAATCATCCAGTATGATGGTGTATGAGTATGGTAATCGTTCAGTGTGATGGTGTATGAATATGATAATCAACAGGCCAATCAGAAGAGAGGCTCATGAATATTAATTAGACAGGCCAAAATCGACCTGTTCAAAGCAGAGCTCCTGAGAAAGGAGCTGTAAAAATATATTTAGATGGTTTTTGGTACTTATACCGCAAATATATATTCTTAAGGACATCAAAACCTAAAATAAAACTCCAGAAAGGTGTATAATATGTGACCTTTAATCCAGCATGTGTGTGTCACTCAGACGTCTGGAGCTTTAGTGTGCGTCTCGTCTGACGTGTCGTCTTGTTACTCAGTGATGTAATACAAACTAACGAGAGTCGTGTGATTGTGGAGAGTTACTGACGTTCGCTAAACAGCAGGAAACACTCCCTCTGCTTCTCGACATGTTTCCCATCATCCTTTAGTCTATTCCAGGGATGTTTTGTGTGTGTGTGTGTGTGTGATGTGGCCTGTCGAGCACATCGTCTGTAAGTTACGCAAGTGTTCCAGCCGCTGCAGCCCGCAGTCTGATCCCGCATGTTTGCCAAACTCCTGCTGGTGCATTCTGGGATGCTCCAGTCTGGCTGTCTGCAGTGGCACATATACTGTTCATTTACACTATAAATATCACTCAGCGTCTGAGACGGATGATGTAAACGGGACGCCATGCTGTAATATCATGTGATTATGGAATTGGCTCTCATATTCTGACCTGATTTCATTATTTTACAGCAGAAATGCTTCCTGCTCAAACAAACACACATTTATTTATGCATTTATGTACTTCTTTATTTATATTAAGATAACATGCAAACTAAAGTACAACAGGAGAAATTACATCTCTAGAGAGGAACATTTTGCTAAATACTATTATTAATATGTTACATATTTATTATATTTTTACAAGTTTATTTTAAAGATTGATACACTATTATAGTTATTGTTGATATTTTGAATTAGATTTTTTTTTAATTTCACTTTAATTTTAGTAATGCTGTTGTGTGTTTTTGTCATTTTTATAATTTTCAGATTTTTTTGAATGTCTATATAGTTTTTATTTATTTAATTTTAGTTATGTTATTACTTCAAGTTAAATGAAATTGAAATTAGAATAATAATAAAAAATAAAATTAAATAAGTAAGGTTTATATATATATATATATATACCGTTCCGTTAACGTTTATTTCAAGTAACAATTTTTATGGCTGTAATTTTAGTTAACTATAATTACTGATTTTACTTGACCTGTTGTCTTCATTGTTTAATGTATGTGTGAATAAATCTGTCATGTAAACAAGTTTTTATTACAGCCACCGTTTAAATGTTGTTATATGCAATTTAAATGTTTGTATACCACTCAGTTTTTATTTGAGTGTTGATTAGTAAATACATTTAATGAATTAATTGATTATTAAAAAATATTTGTTTTCAATTTGGGTTTTTGTCTAAATGAAATCTTTTGTTTTGGTTTCGGTGTTTCAGTAAAAAATAATTTCAGTGCATCACTATTTTTTATACAAATATTTCAAGAAATTGTGGTGGTTGCTTAGGCTGATCTAGTTGGTTGCTAGGTGCTTTCTTCCTGTCTGGCATGAAAAGTGTCTCTGTGATCTTCTGATTTCTGTGTGTCTAAGCAATTTCTGTTTTATGGTCCAGCAGGTGAAAATGGTGCATCTGATCACTGAATCTGGCAGTGTGTCTAAATGCTGTGTGTTTTATAGGGTCTGAGTGTTGGATGGCCGGGCGATAGGGTCAGAGACGGTCCTGCAGGATGAATTCTCTCCCGTCTATGGACAGACACATCCAGCAAACCAACGACCGCCTCCACTGCATCAAACAGGTGAGAGAAACATCTCTACAGACCCCAGACAACCAGTCGCCAGTTAAATAATGTTGCCACTGTCTTCTGAGTGTTTTAATGGATTTATAAGCTGTGACGCCCCCTACAGGACACCTGAACACTTCACACAACTATTAGACTGATTGTAGATTAGGGCCTTTTCATTAGGGCCTTTCACACATTCAAACCCCAAATCCATAAACTCACATAAACTAAATACATCATGAGAGTATAAATGAAGTGGTTCATCATATGAACTTTATGTTTATGTTTGCGTGTGATTTTCTTTTCTCAGCACCTGCAAAATCCAGCAAACTTCCAGACGGCGGCGACGGAGCTGTTGGACTGGTGTGGAGATCCACGAGCGTTTCAGCGGCCCTTTGAGCAAAGCCTGATGGGATGCCTAACGGTGAGGTCAAATCAATCCGTTTCAGTCACTTAACCAATCAGCAGTCAGCATTCATCTGCTGTTAGTAATGTGAACAATCAGCCGTACCGACTCAAATAATTACCTTGTGTAAATATTGCCATCTGTTTCCACTCACATATATGATATTATTTATATTATATTATATTATATTATATTATATTTTTACAGGTTTATTATACTATATTAAAATTTAATTCATTTTATTATTTTTTTATTTGTTTTTTTATTCTGTTCTATTGTGCTTTAATCTATAAAAAATGTTTTCTTTTATTCTGCTTCAGTGTATTATTTTTTTTAATTCTGTTCTGTTCAGCTCTGTTTTATTGAAATCATTTCTATCGTACTCTTCTATTCCATTGTGCTTGTATTGATTCTGTTCTATTCTGCTCTAATTTATTCTATTCATATTGTGCTTTAATCTATACCATTTTATTCTCTTCTGTTCTGTTCTGCTCAAATTTGTTATTTTTATTTCATTCTACTCTTCTGTTCTATTGTGCTTTAATTTATTGTATTTTATCTCATTCTGTTCTGCATCACATTGATTCTATTCATTTAATTTTATTCTGCTCTCTTTTATTGTAATTGAATCTGTTTGTGCTACAATTTTTTTCTATTAATTTTTTTTTTTAAATGGTTCTGCTCTGTTATATTGTAATCTGTTTAATTCTACTTTTCTGCTTTAATTTATTCTGTTCAGTTCAGTTATATTTTACGTTTCTACAGCAGAGAAAGAGCAGAATCTCCTTGCTCTCGCGTGCAGACCTGAGCTGCATTTAAGGAGAATGTGGAATGAGGGCTAAACCAAACCTCGCTCAGATGTTTAATTAGGCGCTTTAGACACACATGATGTGTGTTAAACTGTAATTAAGACGCAGATATGAACGTCTGTGCTTCAGGCCTCAGGGTGTGGTGCTGTTTAACGTGGGCCGACCTGACGAGGGTTTGCAGAGATTTTATTCCCAGAAACCCCAAAACCACAACCGCCCAGTGAAATTTAACTATGACAAAGCGTGCATGCATGCATGAATGCTGAGATTTCAGTGGTGTTTGAATATTATTTGTGTGTCTGTGTCAGGTGGTGAGTCATGTCGCAGGTCAGCAGGGTTTTGACATGGATCTGGGGTATCGGCTGCTGGCCGTTTGTGCTGCAAACAGGGACAAATTCACCCTCAAATCAGCAGGTGAGACCCCACCGTCCTCTACGATTGCCTCGACACCCTTTTTGAGACTTATTTAACTGCAAAGCGTGACATTAGAGTCCATATGAGCTGAAATGGTGCTTTTGGACCTGCTGCTCAACTGGGAGAAACTAAGCAGAACGATGACATAACTAACTAGTTTACTACATCAGTTCCCACAAAGAAGCACAGCACATTATAGTCTGTTTTTGAGTCTTGTAGTTTTGAGAACATGTTTTAACTTCCATCATTAAAGTGTCATTTAAGACAGTCTTTATCAGTGTTATTTTAACATCATTGAGATACTCTTATGGTTTTTATTAATAGTTTAAATCAGTTTTAATTTTAATTTTTTTAATTTTAATTTTTTTAAATTATTTTTTTATTTTTATTTTTATTTTAACTAAATTGTTTTTAAAAAGTAACATTACCAAATAGAAATGAAAGAATGAAAGTTTTAGTAATTTTGTTGTTTTTGTCATTTTTAGTTAGTTTTTTATATTTGTCTATACAGTTTTTATTCATTTTTATTTTTTTTATTTAATACTTTTATTCAGCAAGGACACATTTAATTGATCAAAATAAATCATTTATATTGTTAAAATGATGTCTATTTAAAATTAATGCTGTTCTTTTTAACTTTGTATTCATCAAACAATCCTTTATCATGATTTCCACAAAAATTTTAGAAATATATTTCAGCAAAGAAAATAATAAGATATGTTTCTTGAGCAGCAAATCAGCAAATTAGAATAATTTCTGAAGATCATGTGACACTGAGGATTGGAGTAATGATGCTTTGCATCACAAAAATTTTACATATTTTTAAGCAGATATCAGTTCTTTTTTTAATCAATTAAAGTCTTGGTGAGCATAAGAGAAAATCTTTTTTTCCAAACATTTGTCCGGTAGTGTATGAAAGACTACAAAGTGAGTGTACTGAAATAGGCGGCAATGCAGAGAGAAGTACACACCGAGATGCCAATAAATTACAAAAAATCATCAAATGAAGAATGGAACCATAGAAGTGTTATGCTTACTTGTGGTGAGCCGCCGGGTGAGAAGCCCTGATTGGACACTGGAGATGAGGGTGACTGATTGGCTGAAGAGCCGGTCTGACTGCGGTACTGTTGGGAGAAAGAGATACATATCTGAATGAACCCTATCAACCTAAAGCAAACTGTGTACAGCAGAAGAAAAACATACCGAGCTGGCAGTTCCGCTTGTGGCTGTCTGTGATTGGCTGGTGGTGTTGGGGGTGGAGCTTACGGTGAGAGGCGGGAGGCGTATGAGACGAATGTTCTGAGGGAGGCTGTGTGGCTGTTTCTGCAGGTCGTTCAGTAAACTCAGCAGTGAGTACTGAGACAACTGCTGCTCCAGAGACAGGCTGTCCATCGTCATCGGCTATGACAACAACAGACCGTCAACAAATCAGAATATTCATACTCATATATTTACACTAATTCTTTGTCAATGATCCAGGGTTATTATAGTTCACTAAAACCGAAACTAAAAATAAAACATCTTCGTTATTTGAAATAAAATAAGCATTAACTGAAATAAGAAATTAAAAGACCTTTGTTGCCAAGGAAACATTTCTCAATTTCATTTAGTTTAACTTGAAACACTAAAATAACTAAAACTAAAATTTTAATAAAAATGAATAAAAACTACTTGACAAATATACAAACTAACTAAAAATGACAAAAACACAACAAAATTACTATATATTTAATATATTTATTATTTTTTTATTTAAAAAATAAATTACATTTTAACTTTTATTTTATTTTATTTTAACTAAATTAAAATAATTAAACAACTTGCTGAAAGTAGGTGAAATATTGTTTTATATATATGTTTTTATATATATTTTATTTAATTCAGATAATTTTGTTTTCATTTCAAGTCACACATTTTTATTTATTTATTTATTTATTTTTATTGTTTCAATTTAATTTTTAGCTTTAGTTAACTATAATAACCCTATGCCATCAAGAGCTTTGGTGTAACACTTCATATATAATGAATAAAAATCAGTGTAATTAATTCATACATATTATGTTTGTAAATAAGTTCTGAGAAAATAAATTTGTATGATATGCCTATGTATGATATACTAAGGTATTCGACAACTGATTTTGCATCACATTGTGGTTCTTCATGGGCGCTTAAGTGTAGACAGAATTGTTGATTATAATTAAGCATCTATAATAATCATCTATAATTCAACATCTAGTTTTGTGTTTGGAGTTGTTTTGAAATATTTAATGAGGACTTTATCTCGTTGTGTTGATAGAAACAGGTATCCAACAATTTGTGGGTCACTTCAGCTAATTAATTCAAAATGTTAAATCTATAAGGTAAAATATGAATATCGTAATTCATATATGAGAAATGCCATGCATTTCATGCACATATCTGAGATTTAATGTTTAAATCAGAGTTTTGAATCGATTCTTTGAAGCAAACAGTTTGAACTGATTTACGGAAGTGAATTGAACTATAATGCAAGTCTAATTGCAAAACTACTCCAAACGTAATGACTTAATAAAAAGCGCATGAAAGTAACTGTGAAATTCATGTTGCTTAATTTTTTTCACAATAAAATCATTGTGAATTTTGAATATAACCCAAAACAACTGTTAATTATAAGTATTATTAAAATGTATATAAATGAATAAATACATATACTCTGTACATTATCTGGTAAGTTGTCATGAAATGAGCAGATAATGTACACTAAATTATCACAAAATAAACCCTTTAAAAATTACACTCGACATTTGATTGTACATGATTCCATAAATAATAAATCATATTAAAATTTAATTTAACAAATTAAAAATAAGCAAAGACGGAACCAAAGCATGCACATCAACGGCAAAAAAAATGCTAAAAAATGTGTGCTCGACAAAGAAAACAATAAAAAACAAACAAAAGTTGGCACACCATAGGCTCCAAAAATGCAAAACAATTTTATTTAACAAAAAAATTGTAAAAAAAGCATTGCTCTCCAAACAAAAACACATTATAAACTAAAACAAACAAAATTGAATAATAATAAAATATTTTCTCTAACTTAGAATTTTCTCCAAACAAAAACTTAAAGGTGACATATCATGAAAATCTGACTTTTCCAGGTTTTAAGTGCTATAATCAGGTCCCCGGTGCATCTACCAACCAAGGAAACGTGAAAAAGATTAACCCAGTAACTCTGTTTTGGGAAGCCTTTTTCTGCAAGCATCTGAGAAAACGAGCGCGACTGATTTCGCTACCTTGGTGACGTGGTAAAGGGATCTCATTATAATATTACCACCCCTTAATCTGTAAGTTTACACCCATGACACCGTCATTTTGATTTTGCAAGCAACAACGGTGTACTAGTCCTAAAGCCATGGTGAAAGTTTGAGCAAAACATGCTAACTGTTAAAAGGGGCGGGGAGCAGCAGCTCATTAGCATTTAAAGAGACAGGCCCGAAAAACAGCGTGTTTCTGCTTCCACTCAAAATAGGCATTTTCAAAATGATATAATAAATGATCTGTGGAGTATTTTGAGCTGAAACTTCACAGACACATTCTGGGGACACCTGAGACTTATATTACATATTGTGAAAAGGGGCATAATATGTCTCCTTTAACTTTTCAAAGATGTTTTAATTTATGTCTGATATAGTGCTGGGGTCTGTATCTCTCTGTTGGTTTCCCTGCGGATCAATCGCTCCTAATTGCTTTCGCTTCAGTAGACAGCAGGAATTTCACAGCTGCTCCTGCGGCGGACAGAGACGCTCATTAACCCTTCATTTACCTCAGCTCTCTTAAAAACGGCTAAAATACAGCATGCCGGCTCTAGACCTGAGTGTTTTCATTATCTTGTGCATGTGTGTGTGCGTTTGCAGCATTATCGTGGTTCAGGCTAGATGAGAGAAGGCTTTTGTCAGGCTCAGACTCCACTGCTGGTTTACAACTAGTTCAAGCATGAACGACACAAGTCACTCGTTTAATGGAGTGTAAAACACAGAGCGCTGCAGTAAGTGGAGGCGTTTAGAGAGTTTAACGCTTGTCTAGAGGACGAGGCTTATGCTTCTACTGTAACTCTATAAGTGTTACGGAGAATCATCCTGACAGACGGACAGAGAGCGGCTCGGTTTTCACTGAAGCTGTCAGTCAGTCAGCGGCTCGGAGAGATTTTTACTCATATATGCAGCAGTGTTTCCTACTGTAGGGTTTGTGTGCTAATGAAAAGCTAATAATTATTTAAATCATCATAAAAATGAATTAATACTTTTAAAATAAAAACAATTAAAATATACTTAGTAAAAAAAATGAATATTTTATTTGTTGACCTGATTAATCGACCATTATTTAACATTCTCTTGTTAAATTATTTAAAAGTTAACATACATTTCAGAGGAAAATATTTTAAGTTAAAACTTTTTTTTTTGAAATTCCTTGTCCTACATGATTTAGTTTTTGCAACACAGCATTTAAAATGTAATTTGAAACAGTGTGCATTTGACAGAACACAAATATCATGGGTTTGATTCCCAGGGAATACATAAAGTTGAATGCAATGTAAGTTTCATTGGATAAAAGCATCTTCCAAATGTGTAAATATAAATACAGTATATTGATTATATCTAGATTTGTGAGTTTGATCTGAGATGGTTAAAAAGCATTATTATTTTAAAAGCATTAAACATAAAAAAATTTATTTTGCTCTTCAAAAGTCACATTTGGAGAAAATCTTTATTTGTTGTCTAAATGTATAACACATTTGAATAAAAATCAGCAAGGAACATACTTTGCAATATAAAAATAAATAACACAACATATAAAAAAATAACATGATGAAATCTTTATATAGGCTATTCCATCCACATTTGTAGGCTACCGTAAGATCAGAAAAGTGTTTTCTTGCCCCTGAAATACATTTTGAAATATATTTTGGTATATAAAGGTTGAAACTAAATAAATTTTCAATTCCAAAAATATATTTCATTGAGCTTCTGTGTTTTCAAAATATATTTAGCATGTATTTAAAATATATTTCGGCCAGAATGAAAAACATTTTTTTTTTGCCATATGGGTCAGAATTTTTGTATGTAAAACAAAAACAATTGAATGGATGACAAATGCTACTTTGAAGCTTTTGTGAATAAGTGAAGATGCATATAAAGGTTGAAACTAAATAAATTTTCAATTCCAAAAATATATTTCATTGAGCTTCTGTGTTTTCAAAATATATTTAGCATGTATTTAAAATATATTTCGGCCAGAATGAAAAACATTTTTTTTTTGCCATATGGGTCAGAATTTTTGTATGTAAAACAAAAACAATTGAATGGATGACAAATGCTACTTTGAAGCTTTTGTGAATAAGTGAAGATGCAAATGAATCACTGAATTGAAGTTCTGAGATTAATCTTATTGTGCTAATTATCATGCATATTTTCTTTTCACCGAAAATCTTCCTCTTTGCTGCAGCTCAGATGTTTGTTTTGTTGTTTTGGAAATCTCTATGGAGAAAATGAATTAGATTTTAGTCTCCATTGAGCTCTGTGGTTCATTCAGCCTAACAGGATTTAAACCTGCAACCTTGTGGTTACCAGCACAGATCATTAACCACCTCTAATAATGACTTAATCATGCTGTTGACTGTTGATACTTGTACATAATTAAAGATAAACTCTAATTCAGTGTGGTGATCTACACACACACACACACAGTCAGTCTGTAATTTGGTCTGGTTGTCTCTCAGGGTAGAAACTGATAGTTAAACTGTGGCTTTTCCCAAATAGAAAATGACACAGACATCAGTGAGTGAAGCTGAATCAAACTGCAGATCTGTCCCTGTCCGCTCGTATCTGTTTCAGCTCTGATAGATCACACATCATAGAGCTCTTAGTACATCAGAAAAGAGTAAAGTATGGTCTGATGGTATAGCAAACAAAAAAAGACAGATACCTTTAAACCCTGATGCAAAGCAGAGCTTGATTATACATGATCCAACTTATTACCAAATTAATAAATCAATAAATGCATGGAAATCACTTGCCTGGTACAACAATGAATTCCGCTTTATTATTTCATCTTCTGTCAAATCTGATATAATTCTGAACACTGAGTGAAATATACCGCTGTGGCTGTGGAGATCTTGTTTATTGCTACTAAGCAGCTGTTTCGAAGATTTGATGCCACCAACCTGACAAACTATTTCAGATCCAGTGGTTATTTCACACTCAAAAGTGTTTTAAATTTGTTTGAAATAGAGTTCACATGGTCAAATGCTTTAGATCTTGCAGCAGGGTTATTAATAGTCAGCTAAAACTAAAACCATAAAAACATTTTCATTACTTAATAAAATAAACTTTATCTAAAATAAAATAAAATAAAATAGTATGAAATATTTAAAACGTACACTTGTTTCATTTCAGCTAGTTGGCAAGGCAACATTTCTCATTCTCATTTAGTTTAACTTGATGTACTAAAATAAATTAAATTAAAACTGAAATAAAAATCAATAAAAACTAAAGACATATAAAAAACTAATAAAAATGACAAAAACAAACAACAAATTACTAAAACTTGAACTAAAATAAAAAAAATAGAAAATATAAAAATAAAAAACAATTCAAAATATTAATATAAGCTATAGTAGTATCGCAATAATACTGAAATAACACAGTCTTGTTGTAAATGTTTTAATACATATGGTATAATTTTTAAAAAATATATAATTTTTAATACATTTTAAATTAAAAATTGTATATATTTATTTATTTATTAAGAAATTAATTATTATAATTTTTTTTAAACATGGTATATTCCTTATGTCATGAAAAATCAACTTTCCCTTGATCTTTTGATCTTTTTGGGGGTTCAATTGTATTATGAAAACGTAACTTTCAGAACTCAAATCTTCCTCCCCATAACCAGTTAATCAGAGTGATTTAGAGAGAAAAAAAAATCAGCTCCAGCACCTCAGGGAAAAACAGCAAATAATATGACCCATATATCAAATATAACTGATAAAATCTATAGAAATAAAAAACAAAAATTAATAAATACGAACAACAAAATTACTAAAACTTTAACTAAAATTAAAAGAAAAAAGAAAATGGAAAATACAAAAATAAAAAACTATTCAAAATATTAAGCTATAACAGTATCGCAATGATAATAAAATAACACTCATTGCAAATGTTAAAAAGTGGTCATTGTTAATACATTTAAAATTTTAAATGGTATAAATTTATTTATTTAGTTATTTATTTTTAAACATGGAAAATTCCTCTTGTCATGAGGAATCAACTTTCTCTTGATCTTTTGATCTTTTTTTTTGGAGGGGGGGTTCATTGTGCTGTGAAAACATGTAACTTTCAGAACTCAAAACATGTTTTTGAGAGAAGATAAAAAAGAGCTCCAGGACATCAGGGAAAAACGTCAAATGATATGACCCATATATCAAATATGACCCATTTAATGTGTGTTTGTGTTTGTTTAGCGTTGCTGTCCTCGTGGTGTGAGGATCTGGGTCGACTTCTGCTGCTGCGTCATCAGAAAAGCAGACAACCCGATCCATCTGTGAGCAAGAACCCGATGCAGGCCAACATCAACAACATAAAACCGGCTCTGTCACATGAGTCAGTTTCTCTCTCTCTCACACACACACACACACACACATATTGACACACTGCTGCACATGTTAACTGTTAACATCCATTTGTAATCTCCATAGTGATGCATCATTTCAATATGACTCCGTCTCCTGGCAACAAAACACCAATCAGCCGCCGGGTTCTGTTTCCGTGGTGACCACTGTATGGGGTGTGACCAATACATCACAGAGTCAGGTGAGAGTGTGTTTAACACCGTTCAGAGCACATGCTGCTGTTTGAGTGCATGTCATAACGTGTGTGTGTGTGTGTGTGTGTTAGGTGTTGGGGAGCCCCATGGCAAACTCAAACATCCATATGAACCCTATGACGGGAGGTAATGGAGGTATGAACCCGGGACAGTTTACCGGACACCAGCAGTTTTCCTCCAAGGCCAATCCAAACCAGGCCTACATGCAGCCGGGGATGTACGGGAAATCCAGTTACCCCGGAGGAGGAGGATTCGGGAGCAGGTCAGTTTGTTTCTTCATCAGATTTGGAGAAATGTAGCATTGCATCACTCATTCTGACGGCACCCATTCACTGCAGAGCATCCGATGCTGAGACAGTGATTTGCGGTCCTTGCAGATCATGTAACAATCATAATAAACACACCCTTAAGTTTTGTCTTTAGAACAATTTTAAGAAACATTTTTAAGAGACGTTTTGGGTATGCAAAATATTCTTACCTTTATTCTTAAGTTAAAAATGAGAAGAAAATAGCAATATTTTATTTTCCAGAATGTTTCGTGAATCCAAACTCTTTCTCTCTTGTGCAGTTACGGGGGCGGTCCTAACCATGCCGGTGGGATGGGCCTGCCTTCACAGACACGCCCCCCATCTGACTTCAGCCAACCAGCTGCTGCCGCCGCCGCCACTGCTGTGGCTGCTGCCGCTGCTACGGCGACCGCTACAGCCACGGCGACGGTTGCCGCGCTACAGGAGACACAACACAAGGACATGAACCAATGCGGCCCGGTGAGGGAGTATCTGTAATTGTGGCACTAAATAGATAATAATTTCTAATTGAAACGATGAGTTTGAACAAAGCATTTTGTTTGTTTGCATTCTAGATGTGTTCCTCCTTTCAAATGGGACCAAACCAGGCTTACAGCACTCCGTTTGTGAATCAGCCCGGCCCCCGGGGGCCCCCTGCTCACCCTGGGGCCATGAACGTGGGGCAGCCTCGGGGGCAGATGGGGCCGTACGGGGGTCAGAGAACGCCCCAGCAGGGCTACGGGCCACGGCTAGTGCAGGGGGTGAAGAGACCGTATCCTGGAGAGGTGAGAAATCAGCATCTCAAATACAGTATTGGATGGAATGCATTACTAGGTTACCTTGAAAAAGGGATTACTCTGAATTTTTGTGTAATATAATTACAGTTACTTCTGATGTAATTGCATTAAATGCTGTATAGACTAAAGATCAATTCTATATAAAATAGTGGATTTAACATTAAAATTTAACATCTAATGGTAAAATGTATTTAGAAAGTAATTAGTAATATAAGTAATGCCATACTTTTTAGAGAAAGTAATTAGTACAGTAATCTAATTACACCATTGAAGATGTGATTTGTAGTTAGTAATGAATTGCTTTTTTAGAGTAACTTACCCAACACTGGTCAAATGTACAGTTAATTTAACTTTTCTCTACACTTTGCAATTTTTTAAATACGCAGAGAATGTTTGTACACTGATTTTTCTCATACAAACTTTGAAAATATGCAAAATATAGGCATACTTTTTAAATATGCATACATTTGCATATTAGTGTAGACCTCACAAAAATGTTAAAACCTTTATTTATTTATGCTCGTGAAGCACTTTGAGTTGCATTATATGTATGAAAAGTACTATATAAATATTATTTATTTATTTTTATTTTTTTATTCGTAAATTTGATCTTTTTGCCAAAAACTTTAAAAAGTTTTTTAAAAACTTAAATTAAAAAGTCCATCCACAGTATGTATCAGAATTTTTGTTAAAAATTGACTTTTTTTCCCAGTTTTTTATGTTGTATCCTGTTTTTTGACATTAAATAACCTTTGATGCTGATTAAAAAATAAAACAAACAAGATAAAATGGCCCATTAGATGGCAAAAAAATGTTCCAAAATCTTTCACCCCAGCAATATCGCAAAATTAGGCCTCTGTACCAATTAATGGACATGATTTAAATGACGTAAGGTTATATAAAATCATAAAAATCGAATTATTTTGGGTGTTTATAATTTTATCTTAGTTGAAGATGCAAAATACCGATCATCATTCATGCCTTTTGTCTCTATTCTTAATAAAAATACAGTTCCAGTTAATAAGCATATGTGACCCTGGACCACAAAACCAGTCTTAAGTGTCAATTGTTTGAAATTGAGATTTCTACATCATCTGAAAGCTGAATACATAAGCTTTCCATTGATGTATGGTTCTCAATCAAAATATTGAGAAAATCACCTTTATTAAAGTTGTCCAAATGAAGTTCTTAGCAATGATTATTACTAATCAAAAATTAAGTTTTTATATATTTACGGGAGGAAAGTTACTAAATATCGTCATGGAACATGATCTTTACTTAATATCCTAATGATTTTTGACATAAAAGAAAAATGGATAATTTTGACCCATACAATGTATTGTTGGCTATTGCTACAAATATACCCCAGCGACTTAACACTGCTTTTGTGCTCCAGGGACACATTTGATAGTAAAGGTAGTTTCATGTGAGCTGTGAGCGGCTGTATCTGTGTCTGTTTGTGGTGTTTTTATCTTTAGTGGTGATGCACCTGACCCCCATAAACCAGAATCTCTGTTTTGCTGTTCTTGTATCTGTCTGAGATTTGACTGAAGGTGTTTGTTTTTCTCCAGGGGAGCTACGGGCCGCAGTACGGACCAAACAGTCTGTTTGGCTCTCAGCAGGGTCAGTATCCTCACCTCTCCTCAGCTCAGAGACAGTACCAGGCCTGCGGCATGGGACAGTTCTGCAAGGTCCTCCACTAACATCAGACACCTTCTTTTAATAACACAATATTTGATTACTGATTGTTTTATTAGAGGTGTGGGGGGTGTGTGATTCTTTAAACAATTTTTACATCATCACCATTATGAAAAATGTATTTTTAGAGTGATTGATACATTAAGAACTAACTGTAATACTGCACTTTAATTACTTATAATTCCTTAAAATAATTTTATTATGATAATATAATTAATAATTTATTAAATATTATTATAATGTATTTTATTATGTTATAATTTATAATACAAATATATAAACATTATATTTTATTATATTTATATAAAATTAATTATAATGTATTATAATAAATTCTGAAAAAAATTATGATTAAATGATTGATACAATAAAAAGTTTTAATTTTAGTATAATTTTTTACATTTATTAATAGTAATAAAATAATGTATTATTATGAATTTTATGTTAGTCTTTATAAGACCAATATTTATATATATATATAATTAATAATAATAATTTATTATATTAAATTTCAATAAAATTATGAGAAAATGATTGCTACAATAAAAAATGGACTACACACTACTATTTAAAACTATTATATATTTTTATTGTTTCATAATAATAATAATTATAAAAACAATAATAATTTATTCTAATATATTTTATATTTTCATAATAAAATTGACAATTTTATTAAAATATATTTTAATATTATACAGCCAAATTCTTAGGTAGTCTCATGTTTCTACATTTCAAAAACAACTGGCAAGCTCATTGAAGGTGTCTTTCTCTCTGTCTTTGCTAAAGGAACCCAGCAGTAACTTCAGCACGGGAAACTTTCATTACAGTTCGGTATGTTAGTTTGATGTCCAGTCAGCAGTTGAAATATTCATGGTTTCAGACGTTTACATTTTCATCTGATGTGATTGTAGCCTCCGCGGCCGCTGGGCAGTTACCCTCACTCTCCGTTGCCGGGTGACCCCACGCCCCCCGTGACCCCAGGAAGTAATATGCCACCGTATCTGTCACCAAACCAGGACATGAAGCCCCCGTTTCCTCCTGATATCAAGCCCAACATTAATGCACCTGCTCCAGGTATGAGCCTCTTCCGGCCGTCACTGTACATCATCTTGGCCGTGTTTTCCAGAACAAACACCTAAACATTCTTAAATCAAGATGCATTTACTTGAGAAACAAAATGAATTAAGATATTAACCCAACTGACAGATATTTTTTCTTGTTGTAAGCAAAAATTTATACTTTTTCAGAAAACAAGACCTCTTTTACCTTCTCAAGTAAATCAAGAAGTTTTGAGTTATTTCAGAAGAGCATTTAACATCAGTCTGGACAATTAAAAAAAACATATGCAACATTAATATTTAATGACATCACTTTTAAGAATATCGAATCATTAAATAGGCTTAATCTCCCTCTTGTTTCCTAGGTAACCCTAACGAGGAGCTCCGGCTGATGTTCCCGGTTCGGGACGGTGTGGTTCTGGAGCCGTTCAGACTGGAACTGCTAATTTCACATTTTTTTAAATTAAATTATATTACTGTTACAAATTTCAAGTCTTCACCATGATGAAAAATCTATTTTTACATTTTAATAAAATTATGATAAAGTGATTGATATGATGCAGAAGTAACTAACACTGGATTCCACACCACTGTTTTAATTTATTATAACTTTTACAATTATTTTATTATGATAAAATAAAAAATAATTATCATTTCTAATGAAATGATGATAAAATGATTGATACAATATAAAGTAACCTTAAAACTGGACTGTACACCACTGTTTTAATTTATTATATAAATAATATTATTTTTAATAATGCTTTGTTCTTTTATTATTATAATAACATTTTAAAGAATTTATTATAATAAAATGATAAATAATTGATACAATAAAATAAAATAAAATAATTGATACAATAAAAAAGTAACATTAATACTGAAACGTACACCACTGTTTTAATTTATTATAAATTGTTTTATTATTTTATCACAAGAATAAAATTTATAGTAATTTATTATAATGAATTCGTATAAAATGATGATAAAATGATTGATGCAATTAAACAGTAACCGTAATACTGGACTACACACATTGTTTAAATTTATTATACATTTTTAAAATTATTTCATTATAATTTTTATTTTTATTTTATTTATATACTTTGTTTAAATATATTTTATTTAGCTTTTATTATTACAATGTAATTATTACAGTGTAAATAATTTTACAGTATAAATTATAGTTATAATTACATTTTTTATGATTAAATATTTAAAGCAGTTAAACAGAAATCAACATCCTGGACATCGAGAGTCAATATGTGTAAAATGCTAATTGAATTTATTTTTTAAATTTTTTTAATTGCAGTACATATTGAATCTGGCAGCTAAATATTGTAATATCGAATCAGGTGGTTTATTCCCAGCCCACATACACACACACACACACACACACGTGTATAAAAATACAAAGGCTTCCTGTTCACATCTGCGTGTGTTTGCGTCTCAGGTCTGATCTGGAGCTTCAGTTCAAGTGTTATCATCATGAAGACAGACAGATGTACACGAACTGGCCGGCGTCTGTGCAGGTCAGCGTCAACGCCACACCGCTCAGCATCGAGCGCGGCGACAACAAGACTTCCCACAAACCCCTGCACCTGAAACACGTGTGTCAGCCGGGCCGAAACACCATCCAGATCACCGTGACGGCCTGCTGCTGTGTGAGTTACACACACACACGTCCTGTTGTGCTCGTCTGGTGAATGTTGCGTGAGCGTCTGCGATGTGTTTTCTCTGCAGTCGCACCTGTTTGTCCTTCTGCTGGTTCACCGGCCGTCGGTTCGATCGGTGCTGCAGGGTTTACTGAGGAAGAGACTGCTCACCGCCGAACACTGCATCACTAAAGGTATCGCTTCAGTCTGTCTGTCTGTCTTCTGTTGGTCAGTCTCTGTGATTCGTTTTGCATTCATGAGCCTTCATTCTCTGTCTCTCAGTGAAGAGGAGCTTCAGTAGTGTGGCTGTGTCTGTCGGTGATGATGGGGTGGAGCAAACGTCCATCAGAATCTCTCTAAAGTGTCCAATCACGTTCAGGCGCATCCAGCTGCCGGCGAGAGGCTATGACTGCAAACACATGCAGGTCCGGAAATCTTTTAAACGGCTTAAATGCTTGCTTTGGCATCAAATGCAGAAGCCACAATTTTTTTTTACAAAATTTATTTTTTTGGTAAATCTGCTTGGGAATGATATTTGTAGTGAAAATCACTACAAATAAATGTTAAAGGGGTCATATGATGCTTTTTTAAAGATCATTATTTTGTGTATTTGGTGTAACAGGTGGCAGAGTCTTAACTTTGATAAAGAATATCTCTTTGGTTTTGAGACTTTAGTCTTTGCAACTTCAGGGATCTTATCTATGCACAATCAGCTTGTAACACTCCAAAGAGAAAGGAAAACTTGAAATCGCATCATATGACCCCTTTAATTGAATTTAAAATATTTCTAGAATTAGCCTTAAAGAGGGTAGAAAAAGACACCAATACAATACTTAATGCAAAGTCTGGATTTTACATATTATATAAAAATATATATTTTAAATAATTTGCTTTGCCTTCGGTAAAGTATAAAATATTTTTTTAAAAATTAGCAAAAATGTCTTTATAATTTTACATTTTTTCTCACTCGGTATAAATGAGTCTTTGCTCACCAAGGCTGCATTTATTTGATCAAAAACACAGTAAAAACAATAATATTGTGAAATATTATTACACTTTCAAATAACTATTTTCTATGTGAATATATAGTAAAATGTAATTTATTTCTGTGATGCGCAGCTGAATTTTCAGCATCATTACTCCAGTCTTCAGTGGTGCATGATTTTCAGAAATCATTCTAATATGCTGATTTGCTGCTCAAGAAACATTTCTGATTATTATCAATGTTGAAAACAGT